TACCACTTTCATAGACTAGAAAACTTAAAAATTATTAGCGATTATGGCGTGTATTTAGGCGATTCGTCCGATTTTAGGAGCCAAAGGTATAAAATTTCAAGTCGTGCATAATAATTTATCATCGGAAAATCCATCCCAAACAGATTATTTTCGAATATATAGAATTTTGTAGATGGAAACTGGAGAAGGATTGTAAAATCCTAGCGAAAATGCCCCTCAGTATCTCGTGTTGGGAACTCGGGTGTGTGTTAACTTCTCCTTATTTCAGTCAACTAGTCTTCCCGACTGACAGGATGCAAGATATCGACACCGGAGGTAATCTCGGTGACCGGAAAGAGAAGAGGGAGAAGTGCGACCGAGAAGGTGTGAAGAGACACTTGCCCACCTAATAAGACCTCATGGCAGAGTTTACGACTCTCGGACCCCCTGTGTCATTTGACACGGACAGCGAGCCATTAGTGGGGACTCTGAAAGAGGGACATAAAATCTGATTTCCCCCATAGGGACTTGCAGGATACAGGCTGCAAAATGGAACAGCAAGCAACAGCGGCAGCAAACTTTCATTGGCTTTTTTTCCATCTTCTTCTCTTCCTTTTTCTTTAAATTTAAACTAGAAATATCACGATTTAGAACAGCAGAAAGAAGTTAGTTTGTTTCGGTTCTGGAATAATTTACACCAGAGTTAAAAGAAGACATTGTTGAAGGATTAACGTTCATTTTTTTAACGTGTTCAAAATGGATTCAACCTCATAAGAATAATTGGACAATTTCATCTAAATATAGTATTTGGAATGGAGAATTTTTTGAAGTTTGTCATTAATTTTGAACAAAGTCGAAAAGCATTAACTTATCCAACAGGTGCCATAACAACAATGGGTTTGCAGGAAGGCATCGTTGTTCACTTCTCATCAGCTTTATAGGGTTTGCTCTCTCCACGTTTCATGACCGCTCATTGAGTTTGTCTAAATGAGGATGTGCTACGTGACGTCCCAGAAACCACTGAAAACGGGAAGCCCAGCCTGCGAGAAACTATAGATATTGGCACATGTTCAAATGAGGGAGGGTAATGCTTCTCTTCCCTCTACAAAACGACTTTTTAGCATTATTTTAAAACTTTTAAGCTTAACTATTCTTTTAAATAATCAACTACTGTGTAGTTACGACAATTGTTCCATTTATAAAAAAAATTCTCGTATTTTTTCCTCCTCTTTCTCCTAGCTGTAATGTTAAATTATACCCAGTTTGACATTAAAAAATCGTAAAGATTCCCTAAAACCGGGGAAAAAACCTGGAAGAAAGATTTTTCTAACTTCTCCAGAGAGAGATAAATTGTCTAGTAGAAAAGGCGGTTAAATCCACTTTTGAAACATTTTGGATTCTCCATAATCTGTAAAAGGAAGGCAAGTCCAGCAGTCTGTCCGGGATTAAAGCTAACACGTCTCTTGTATCAGCAAAATGACCGCCGTAGGGACACTAGATGGATGGCCGACTACAAAATCAATACCCCAACAATTACTGATTACGGGGAGGCGTCCAAATTATGAAAAATAACCCTCCGGGTGTTGTCCCTGAGGTGCAGTAAAGCGCCTTCCCCGTTTCTCTCCCCCTTTTATCCTCCCCAAGAACGTCCAGATGCCGTTCTGGACGGAATTGGGGGAAGGCATTAACCTAAGTGATTTTTCCCTTTCGTTGTCATGGCGACGGTTCCTGGTAGGCGGTCTTAACTCATTCTAGTCATACCAGAAGGCACTCCGATGCTAGCGCAACCCCCATTTTGAAAATGGCGTCAAAATTGACTGGAATAAAATTTTTCGTGGGGGAGTTTAAAGTTTTATAACTCCCATTTTAAGATTGGTACCCGGTGCCGAATTTGGTTCTACGAAGCTCCCTCGATACTTTGCGAGCGTCGAACGTCCGGGATCTTTAGAGGAACCCAACTCTCGCTCTTCACCAGGCATTTATAAAAATCAAAGTCGCGTATATTTGAAGATTTTGGATATTTATAAAGGGGCCGAGCCAAGTCGAATAGATGGAGGGAAGACCATTTGGGACAAGGTTTATTACATTGTGGCACCCATTTAAAATCTGACTCCACAAGGACTTGATAAACAAAGCCACTTAGTTATCGAACAAACTTTACTTTTGCACATTTTGCAACAACGCTTCCGCCATTGATTTGGAAATAGCATCGTGTTATCGGTTCCATTCCGCCATCTGTTACGGGTTGTCTTTTGACCAGTCGATTTTGACAATTGAACAGCTACACCCATCTGCGGATCGATTTCGTCTCGATAAAAATAGAATAAGCTGAAGTCTCCGTTTTAAAATCCTTTAAAACCAACTGTACAATGGGGGGGAAGGAGATTGCCATTCCTGGTTTTCTCCCACTTCATTTTGTTCTCTGGTTCTTGTTGTTCCAGGGCCTCCAGCTTCTGTTGATCTTACTCGTCGATTTGCTACCATCGTCTCCGGATTTTGCCTCGCACCCACCCGATTATATTGAATCTTACCCCTTGGCTGGAGTCTGTTGATCTTATCCGTTCGTCCGGCTTCATTTCTGCCTAACTGGCTTAACTATTACCTTTCCCCCGCAGGCTGCAGCTTTCTTCTGCACACCCGATGGAGAATACAGCGGTTGGACCATCCACTCGTCGCCACGTCTTTAAATATATGCGAAATAAATTAGTTACGTCATAATTGTGATCATCTCACACTTTTAAATCACGAATTACAAGCACGGCAAAAGCTACTGTGCCAAGCAAAGCGGAGATTAGAACGGCTATAGAGGACCGTTTTACGACTTCCGATACGACTTATTTTATAGACACTCGACCACCGGTAGAATGCAGTAAAGATAGCCATCGGATGCACTAGCGGTTTTTAATATCTAGACACTTTGATGGCGGAACAAGGGACAATTAAAATGCCATTAGTCGTTATTAAGTAACGTTATGTCACCTCGGGACCGTTATTGCCTCGGTCCACTCCCAGCACGACACGCGCTGGTCACTTTAATACCGTTTTAAAATTATCGTCGCAGGTACAGTATTTATTTTTATTGTGTAGAATATCGGGGCCAAGCAAAGACGGAAGCGGGGTGTAGGCGGAGATCCGATCGCGCGTTTACAAAGTTCGATAATAAAACTAGTCGATGAATCGAGTCGCATTAACCGCAGCAGTCAGGCATTATAAAAGCCGGGGTAGTAAATGTGTGTCTATTGTCTGCCAACACCTCTCTCTCACAATTAGATGAATACTTAATTCAGCAACGTCCATTATCCACATCTGCCGTCTATTTATGAACTGCCGAGTTTTGTTAAGGTGCGTTTTTCGTTTTCGCATTTCATCTTTTTCTTCTGTCGTGCAGATGTCGCAGGTCGTGCCGCGGAGCGACAGCTTGGCCACCATTTCCTCCCTTCCAAATTATTTATGTAGTGCAGTAATGAGAGTGCTCTCGCTCTCTGCAACCGTCTCCTCCGCTTCCATTCCCTAAAGAATGACTGCGAAAATAATGTGGCTTCTTTAACAAGTCCGCATTTTCTGGTTATTAAAGTACCTCGCGCGCCTTTTTTCCTCTTGTAGCTGATTATAACTTGAATTACTGTTTCGCAACTCTTCTCTGTTCATTTTTCCTCTCCCCCTCACCACCGATAACCGGGATAAATGGGAATTTCGCGAGGAGCCTACTTAAAAACTTTCTCGGGATCTCTATCGGGGTGGAGGAACGGTAATTAAAAAAAAGCCAAGAAGGTAGTTTGGGGAAGAATCGAACGGTTTCTGCACTCCTCCAGTTGTAAAATAAGGTAAATTTTAGTCGGATTTAAAAGTCTAGAGCCTAACAAGACATCTGACCAGATTCGGCTGACCCTCCGACATGGTCTCTCCTCCGTTCTCGCAAATTATAAAATCAATAGCGTAGTGTACAAGCTCGCTTCTGCCGCTTTTCCCTTCTCCTCCTGCATAATTTACTCCCTGTCTATTATTAATGCGAGCGCTCACTCAGCCAGAAAATCGTACGTGAAATACAGCCCAGAAACCAGAGATGTCGCACAGAATCTTGTTGAACGTTGACATTTAATCTGTTAGAGAGCGAAATTCCTTTATATAACAAATAAAATTCGATTTTTATTATTATTATTTGCCGTTTCTCCGGCACTTCGTATTCCGAACATTCAATTATTATCAAGATATCGTATTGTTTTATCCGAGACTGATAAATTCCTTTGTTTTTAGCCCAAAGTGGAAATTCTATGGAAACTCGGAAATTATTAGTGAAAAAGGCGCCGAGTCCCGTCGAAAGTCGAAGGTTTAGTTATTACGCGAGAGGATATAATTGAAATTCGATTATTATGCCACCATCGTTGGCCACGCGAGAGGCGATCGAAGACACGATTCTTATTAAACACCAGCCCTAGGCTACAGCCATCATTTTTTAAAACTTATATATACACTTTTTCTTCCGGACGAAGCGAAGGAAGATAAGCGCTAACGTATTTTTGAAGAATATACATTCGTCAGCGGGCCATCTTTTCACGGGGGAGGGAGATACAATAGCCCCCGGCTGTGCCCATTCCACATAAATACCACTAGAGGCTTGGGTATGGGATTTTAATGAGGCTCGATAGATCAGCTGCAGTTGGATCTCTTGAGGGACACACAATTTGTCTTTTCGCTCTTTGCGTCGAGATAAGTCTTGGGTGCAGGTCCCGAGGATACGAGGATGATTTATTTACGTTAGGTATGTGTCAGACGACTTTCTTTTTAAAAAAGGAGATGAGAATGCGTTACAGCCCGGGGTCAGGTTTCTGTCGTGTTCTTTGGATAAATTTTCTCTGAGAATTTATCTCGCTCGGTGGCGTGTTCTTTTCCTATCGCCTCCTCCTGCCACGCTCTGGAAAAACTACACCTGGTTTTAACGCGGTTGGCCACTTTTAATTATATCTTTTTAATTTGTCGAAGACAAGAAGGATTCGTTAAGGACTTTATCGTTTCTTTCGCAGGTTCATCAATGCAAGGAGAAGAATAGTGCAGCCGATGATTGATCAGTCTAATCGTGCGGGTGAGTACTTAATTATTATTTAATAATGCACTTCTTGTTACAGCCGTAGTTTATATACTTTTTATTTGTGCCAACAGAAATGATAAAAAATTCAATTTTAGAGAGATCGAAACGAAATTCTAAAATTCGAAACTAAGTTAGAAAATCTCTTTGAAAAGTTTGACGTGGCCAATGATAAACGACGATAGTTGCCATTGTAGAAGGTCTAGGATGCAACAAACGGGGTCCTGAACGGAAAAGGAGAGGGGGAAGATAGAAGAGAGGGGTTGGGGAGGAGGGGGAAAAAGTAAAAACGATTAGAAAATGCCTTAGTCGCATTGGAACGCAACATTTCATCTCGATACCCAAGATGGCGTCGAGACAGAGTAGCTGGATAGAGAAAACTCGTTCTCATTAAACTAGCCATCAGTCATTCTCCCTTTTTTCCCGCCTGGAAGAGGAAAAAGCCGGGGGAAGAGACTAGTTTCTTTTGTGACCGCTTCACCTAACAGGACTAAAGTGGTGCTGGCCAGGAACGGTTTTTATCGAACATTGACAACTCGATGATTGATGATGTTTCAATCCGGGCCACACAGTCCAGGTCCGTTTCCGAGCTGAATGAAAAAGGGAGGTCTGCGGGAGGGGTGGATGGTGGGGACATTCAGGAAATGGCATTTCTCATTAGGGGACGGCAGTCACTTTCACAACTACTACTAACCTGGCTTTAGAAGTTCCCTCTAGGATCCCTAACTTTTTCTAAACTTTCTTCTCCGAGTATTACCGAGATGGGATTTGTAAGGGGACGACCTTACCTTTCCATTAATTGAGTTGTCTTCTATATAAGAAAAAACAATAAAGGGAAGAAAACACTTTCTTTTCGATTTGTTTTCGTTGGCAAGACGAATTATTTTCTTTTTTAAAACTGTCTAGTTTTAGCTTATCTTCTCTAAACTTGTTAGAGGGCCAAAATGGGACATTCTGAACATTCCGACTAACATGTGCAAAGGGAAAACGTTACTTACAAGGCCAAAAAACTCTCCATTCTGTTAGACTTATTTAGTAGTAAAGAACAAACTTAGTTTTAGACAGACAATTTTACTTTATAATGTTAAGAGAGGATGGTTCGATTCTCGAAGCGCTGAGTGTCTTTTCGGCAGGGGTATGAAGTGTCTTGTGTTGTGTTTTCAGGTGGATCTATTGGCGGAGCGAGTACCGCCTACAGCCCGGAAGGTGCGGGGATGGGTTACATGATGGACGGTGGTCAACAGATGCACATTAGACCTCCAGGTATGAAAAATGTACTATCAACATATTTAATCTTGAATTCAATACACTGGACTATCAGAGCCAAGGAATCGAACCATCGTCTAGGATTCGATTACCGAACTATTAAAACCGAATTCTCTCTTCACGGTTTCATCCTTATGGCTTGATTTTTATGGTTACTGATAGGCCCGGTGATTTTGTAATTTACTTATAACAATAGTTTTAATGTAGAATATTTATTTTATCTTTATTAACCTCGCGCATTGTGCCGCCACGGCGCCGGACAGACCTAGGTTCGGATCGCACCCCCGATAAGCCCGATAACAGGGTGCAGGCTTTTATTGCCACGTCTCAATTACCCTATTCTAGATTAAGGGCAGATTATAAACATCATTAGTAGTAAGGAATTTATCAGATCTTGCAGGAGATTCCTTCCTATTCGGTGTCGAGATCTCGTAACAAGCCAAGAGCTCCTTTAAAGAAAGGACTGCGGTATACTTACCTCTCGTAATTAGCAAACGTTGCGGAGACAGATTACAGCTCGATTGTTACCCGCAGCACGTCCCACGTGTCACGGTAATAAGGATTAAAGGCGACAGTTTCATTAGCCTAATTACATCCTCTGTATTTTGGTGTCTCTTCTTTTTGTATCACATCGATTCTCTTGTAAGAGGCGTGGATAAAACAGTCGAGCCACAACAAGCCAGCGGAAACGTTGTTTACGTTTCCACAAACAAACACGACCCGATGCATCTTATTAGCCGCTTTATCTTCTTTGCTCGCAGCCTTTTTAATCTTTTAATTCCTAACGAAATAACACGCACAGCGGCTCCGCCCCATTCGAGTAAGAGAATTTGGCACCTCGGCACCGAATTAACTCTTCTTTTCCCTTACAGGTATGCAAAACCTTCCTTGCACCGACGGTTCCATAGGCATGGGTCACATGGGCAGCATGGGCGGATATTCCCAGATGTCGCAACTCAGATCGCCCGTTCACTCGCAGGCCATGCTACTACCCGGGCATCCTCACGCAGCCATGATGATGACGCACGGACCTATGGGCCATCCGGGCATTCCACCTCAGGGTTCGCCGTACGACGGATCGGGACAACACATCATGGATATTCACGCCAGTTAATGTATTTCTGTACGAATGGAGAACACAGCTCTTTCCCCTTCCCGGTTCTCTCCCCGACAACGGAAACCGGCGCACCTATGCAGGTGAGAAACTGAAAACGGGGAGGCTGGGTGCGGGGAAGGCATCTTTTATAGTCCTATCGTCGTTCTAGAAAAAATCCATATACGTAAACGGTTCTTCACCCAACCAGCTGGGTAGAGCTGCAAAATAGAAAAATGTAAACCGGCTGGCCTGACGGTTTCGATGGTACAAAAAGAATTGCTAAAAATAGAAACGTCTAGCAATCTTCATAGTGTCTGGATATAAAGGAAGAAAGAACAAATTCTAAACCGTAGCCGCGCCGTCAAAAATTAGCTTCCAATTCGGGTATAAGACAAGAAATTTTTTAAAGCAGTTCGCGCAACACCCGGTTATTATTATTGTAATTATTATAATTATTATTAATTCGAACTCTTCCACATAATTTTTTTAATTGTGATTCGTCGAAGGTCAGCCGGAGTCACGTGCTTCCTGCTACGTCCTAGAGATGACGAGGAGTTAAGATGACTCGCCGAAAGAACGATTATATAGGGGGACCACAGCTTTACGGGGGAAGGAATAAAGTTGTAAAGGATGGCGGATACCAGCCAAGCTGGTGGTGTTTCGTGTAAGTCAGTGTACGTGTGAAGGCGGGACAATCAAGTCATTATACCATTTCATTGTACAGGGTGACTGTGGCACTGTTGTTTTCTGTGACCACAATGTACTTTAACGTGAATAAAAATATCATTGCACTACAGCCTCTGTCGAAATTATTTACACCCGACGAGATTTCCGTAAGGACAGCGAGTAAAATTTGTACACGCGGAATTTCCAAAACGGTTGGCAGAAGAATTCTCCGCATTGGGAGACAGGAATGTTCATTCGATACGGCGCTGGGGCACCACCCCACCGCGGCCAGACAGCCGATACCCTCCACAAGTGGTTCCACATCTGCCGCCGAGAATCGAATTTTTGTTAAAGCCTAATTTCCAGGCAGTTGCCAATGCAAGATGTGTCAAAAGGACAATGAAGTCGTATCGAGTTTCTCCAGCGACGCTCGTACACACCGCCACATTCTATCTCCAGTAATGTTCAAGGTCTTTGGCCTTTCGCGCGCTTCCAGGCTCGTGCCGAACGCCTTTCCAATCCTCCTCCATTAAAAAATATATACATTTAATCATTTTTATTCATTTTTTCCGGAAGGCTTAAATAACAAATACCCAAATTACCATCGTTTTAAAAGGAACCATTGGTGTTTTAAATTCGAATTTGGCCAATAATAGAACTAAAACGGATTTTATTTATTTTAAAACTGGATAATTTCAAATTTTTCGAGCGAACGGTCGGTGGGCAGCACTTTTCAAACTATTACGAACGTAACGGATCATTTAATCAAAACCCGGAAAATTACGGGTTTTAGTTTTTTAATAGAAGGTAAATTGTTTGCGTGACACGGAATTTAAAAAAGCGTACAGATGCCAACAGAACTTTGTTTAAATTTATAAAACTTTCGATAAAAAGTGTAAACGCTACGGCTCGTTCTAGAAATTATATTCAAATTAACCGATAATAAGAGATTTAAATTCAAAGCCAGCCAATAACGCAACGTTGATTATTCAAACGGACCAATGGCGTTGCCGAATTTGTATAGGCTACCGCTAGGATCCTAAAATAGAAATAAAATATATGAAAACAACAATATTTTTTACAATTAATATTAAATTATGCAACGTCGTAATAACAGTAATAATTCTTTTCTTCTTAATTGATAGCAATAAATAAAATTTAATGAGAGCCACTCGATGCGATAAATATATCCTTTGTTCTAATATCAGATAATTTCGTAAATTATGGCTTTTTAAATTGTTATACGTTTAAAACGAAAGATGTGGCGGTAAACCAGTATTATAAATTAAAAAGGGGAATCTCGTTTGAAATGTAATTTATGCAGGTGGTACGTATATAAAAAGTTTCGGAGAATTGGCCGAATACGCAATCGTAATTCGAAAGCGGCCAATGGCGCATTTTATAGAAAAAGTTTCGTTTTAAAATTACGAAAACGTGAATTAAAGAAAGAGTATAAATGGCGTTTAGAAATTTCTTATCGAGTGTCGCCATCTGTTATCGTCTACAGAAATCATAAATTAAATTTGGAAAACTTTTATTAATATATTGTCATCGGTGAAAATTTATAAACGTTTCTCGTTATCGGTTAGAATTAACGTTTGTCGAGCGTCGCTATTGGCTAATATTAAAGATTCAAATCCGAGAAACGTTTTCGAAAGAAAAGGAAGAAGCGAAAGACGAGACGAAAAAGTTAAAGCCAGTCGACTTCCTTTACGAATCATAAATTCCAACGTTTGGCCAACGGCGCAAACTCCCATCGAACCTAACGCGAAGATAGCCAAAGCGAGCGGGAGAAGGCGCATCCCGCCAGCTTTAAATAGCGTAGAGGACATTTTAAAGTTTTAAAAATTGGCCAGGGGTGGGCCAACAAAAAGGGATATTTAGAAAAGGAAGCGGGCGGGGACCGTCTTAGAATAAAGACGCGATACAGACGAAGATAGAGAATGTTGCAATCGGACAAACGTGCGCGGGATGGGAATGGTTTGCTTCTACACTAGAGATTGACCGTAAAGTATGTCAGACGCCAGACTGGCTAGCTAAGATGGCGGTTTTGTGACAGGAACAAATAACTAACGTGAAATATCGTCTCCGAGATGTCAGACTGAATCAAGAGGAATCTACTGCCGAGTGTCAGAGATCGCCGCGAGGGAACTGAATACTGCCCTTTCATTTCGTCAGAAATCACAACCTAAACATGCACTGAGCATGCGTTCCCTTACTATTTCTCCCCTCTCTCTCTGTTTACTCGGACATTCTCTCCTCTTTAAGCGGGCACAAACGTTATACGAGGTTACCGCATCGCTTATTTCGGGATGCCAATCTCGTTAGTCGGGAATCGGATGCAAAGGTACGATTTTTAACACCAAGACAGACAAATCGCGTTATATCCATGAAACTAACGTTACTTTACATATATATATATATATATATGGAGGCGTAGATTTTCCAAAAACAAATTCGTGTCTGAAGAACGGTAACTTGGCATTACGTGTAATATTGGCCTATTCGACGTAACAATCGATTTAAAACGAGCTCCGAAAAAGATTACGTTATCTACGAGCACTGGCATTACTCATTTCTTACGTCGGGGATGTAACGGATAAATTTCCTGGAAAGACCTAGCGTGAAAACGTACAGTACAGCGACGTACTGACAACTCACGTGTGTTACTACGCATACAGTAACGTTTACGTCGCTATGCTGGTACGCGATACGAGCTTCTAACGAAACCACGCATTAAAAAGAAATCGCATTTTTCCGGAAAATACAATACTGCAGATATTGACATTACGCATTGCTGATTTCGCGTAAATTTACGTCGTATAGAGGCAAATGCGCATTGTGCGCGAGAACGCGTCACACTTCGAATGTCGATTGTTTGGTGGAGTTCGTTGGCTAAATGGGAGGAGAGAAAAGAAAAAAATCGAAAGCCGGACATTCGGACATTTCGGTGACAGGCGAACAAGAAGGACCTTAGGTGACGACCAGATGCCGGTGACACGCGACTGCCGACTTTGTCCCAAACAGCTGTCTCTGACGGGATTAAGTTCCCCTCCGAACTTAATGATGTCTGACCGACTGATGTGTCCGTAGGTCAGCTGGTGGACATTGATCGGACATTGTCGCACGTTTGACCCCGGCAAGCCAGGACACCAGACACCGTCCGACGGATCCCTAATTGTCCACCGATGGCGGGGGTCCGGACAATATCCAATCGTTTGGACTGGCGGCACGTGCCGCATACTGACGTCATGCCTGCTATCTGGAATTGGATTTTTTGTCCTCCTCCTTCGTTATCTATTATCTTTAGATAAAAGAATATCCCCTAAACTGGAAGAAATAATGGGAAAACTTGTGTGTCGCGTCATTTACAGGCTTAATTTGGCCTCTTTTCCGGAACGAAAGAGAACTTTCATCCATCATCTTCCAATGAAAAATTAAGAATGGTTTAAAAATGAAAACACCGTGCGACCGTCTCATTGTATCAAATTCAATTAATATTCAACGTAAATATGACCAGAAACCAATTTGGAGATTCGATTTTCACTCCTATAATAGCATTAGGAGTTTCACTCCTATAATAGCTATTTTTTACACAAGCCTTGAATATTTTTTCATTCCACTTACCCAACAATGTATTGAATATACACAAAAACTGGTGCGTAAATGCTGACGTTGACGAATTAGTTCAAAAAATAAAATAAAAATTGTAAGAAACTATCAATTGCCCAAAAATCCTAAAACTTGCAAAAGATAAAAATATCGATTTAATTTTAATATATAATTTAGGAACCAGACTTGCTTCAAATTTCACCAAATCACCCTCCAGAGAGATAGAAAATCCCGAAAATTAATGGCAAAGCTGTCGAGAAATTTCGTAAAGAGTATCGGAAGACGATTATTTTAAGAAAATTTAAATATAGCGGAGGGTCTTCCATAAAATAAACAATTAAACATCGACGTCACGGACGTGGCGTGATCAAGTCCCATTTCATCTGACAAAGTGACCTCCTAGCGACAAATAAAACAATAACTTCTACTTGGCCCCATTTTTGTCTCTTCCTATTCGTCCTACCAGACACTTACTTGATTAGGAAATACCTAAATAAGCAAGTGTTTCCATCTAACTCCTAAATTTCTTGTTTTTTGGAATTAAAATACAATAGGTGAAGTGTTTTTTGTGCATCGCATTTCACGCTCCTTCTATCTTTTCCTTCTTTCATTCCTTTTCGAGAGAAGGGGAAAGTGTGCAATTTTTCGAAAATACCATCTACACTCCTTCTAAATTACACTCCTTCTCCTTCCTGGCTGTCATATTCAGCTTCACTTCTCGCACTCATCCATTATTTTTTGGCAAAGTTGAAAACAAGAAAAGGAAAGAAAGCGAAATTTATTATCACCAGCTTTCTCTTCCTTCCTGTGAGATTGGCTTTTAATTATGAACCCTTCGATTTCTTCTCCTCTGCAATGCATATCGACAAGGCCTCTTCTCTTTATTAAAATCTTAACCGGGCCTTCTCGTTAATCAATTTCCGACAAATTACCACAATTTGACATTGGTATACTCAATGGTTAATTTTAACAATATATTGCTACGGTAGCATTAATATTCATTTTGTAATACAGTAACGGCTGTCGGGCCAACGTATTACTGTTACAGCACGTAAAAGGCATTGTTTACAATAGATTACTACAGTAGTTTGTCCTCCATTTAATAGTTAACTCGCAATGACTTTTCTATAAATATGGAAACCGTAGCAGCATATTTAAAGTAAGAAATGTATAAAAATTACATTGCTGTTTATTGCTCAGCAGCGACATCTGCATTTTATTGTTAAACTATAATTACACCTTTTGCAAGATAATAGAAGAGTTCGGCAGTTAGCAATGTATAAACTGTTACTACAGAAGCATAAACAATACGACCAAAAATCGAATTTAGTACAGAAAGTATATACGATATTGGCCTTACACAGAGTAATTACTATAACGACAGCATCATAATTACAAATTTTCGGTCCTTAAACTCAGTCGGTTTCTAACTTAGTAATAAAGACGTATCAAGAATCTGGAACAAATCTAGTTTGACCGTCTCCGGCTTAATTAATTCTGTAGGAAGAGGAGGAGGCCTCTGCCACTTAAGCATGTTTTGTCAACACGTGACAGATACAGTCCTGCCCTTTTATCGACTTTTAGGTTGACAGTACGTTCTTCTCGGACGAAAATCACGAATTTAGTAAGGAATAAAGAGAAATCCGATGTAACCGTTTCTTGGCAACTTTGCCAAGATCAAAATTCATCCCAAATTGATGAGTCCCCGTAGAATAATAGGTCATTTTTGGCAGACAGAAGTGCCATTTGAGTTCAGAACACTCACCTCTGCTTCGAATTATGTTACATAAATCACGATTCTTTAATTTTATGGATTTTTTAGAAAATTTTGCAGAGTTCGTCCGTAGTTTGAGAAGTGGCCAATGATATATTATAACCATTAAAATGCCTTAAAATATTGGGGAATTCCCCACGGCTGGCTATTGTATAAAAGCCGTTTTAGAGTACTCGTAAAGATTTTATTATTATTGCATATCCCTAATTGGATGACACGCGGCTAAACGCTTTAAAATTGAAGTTATCGATAGGGGCCACATTTTTCATCTGCAAAGAGGCGAAGGCAATAGAGAAAACTTCTCTCCATCAGAAAGCCAGCAGCGTGTCCATCAGAGATCGAGGATCGTTGAAAGCAAAGCAGAATAGGAAATGGGGCCACAAAAGAAAGAGCATCAGGAATTTCATCTGGCGGTGGTAATGGGTCCCCAGACAGACATTTTTGAGAATGCACTTATTGGTTGCGTCTGCATCCCGACTCCCGCGAGTATAGTCGGCGGCTGGGAAATTTGACAGTCTATTGCCAACATGTGGCCCCGTGGTCCCCTATTGCGATCCTTCCTACACCAGGGGCCAACGCACATGCAGATGAGTGTAGTAATCATCCGTCAAAACTCTTCCACTCGTTTATCCGGGTTAGAAGCAACCGTAACGAGAACAGACAGGGCTTTTTCTGCCGATCTGCCGTCAGCAACCATTAGAGGAGGATGATGTATTAAACTACAGGAAGCTGTCAATTCTCTTTGTTTCTCACTTTCGACGACAACGTCCCCAGCCGTCTTCGATAAACCGGCTAATCTCCCGCCCTCCCGATCAACCGTGCACGCCTTTCGCCTTCTTCACTTCATACCCTTCTTACGAATTTAATTTCGCAAGTGTAGCGCCACTAGAACGCTTAACGCCATCTGTCGGCTTCGGCAATCACTAATGGCATTTTTTTTGATATCTTAATTTTTTGGATCCCGTTAACGGTAATTAAAGTAATTCATAATTATTACACAACGTAATAAATGGGATTTTACGCCAGATAAGCACGCCATTCGAAATCTGATGTATCGAGTTACGGTGTTAAATATTCATACGTACAGTACGTCTGCAGATAGTCGGATGCAAAACTGCTGGGAGAAAAAAAGCTTCGGTCAGTGATTAGATAAACATAAATAGGCAACACGATCAGGCAGAAGCGATCTGTCAATGACAAGATAACTCTCACCTTCCTGTCAACCGTTGCTCTAACGATGGAGATCTTTGTTACCCTTCTTGAAAAAAGTTATCGTATCTGTTACACGTTCCACTTCCTGTCAAGCGCGTACGTCGGTGGTCCTGTCTACGAAGAAACAACTTTACAATCTTCATTCCGAGCCCAGTTGCAGTCGGAGCAACTTAACCCCCATTCGTAGAGTATCCCACAATTACAATCGATAGATCATTATCGATTTTCCTAAGGTTTACAACTTGCATTTTTCTAACCTTTCCGAGGTAAATGGTGATGGCCGGACAGCCGACAATCGCTAGGTCCATATTAAAATATATCGAAGGGAGTACCGGTTTGATGGCACTCGACACTTTGATACAGAAGGTAATTAATATGTCGAATGCAGCCGGGACATATCATCCGAACTGACACCGGAACTAATCTAGTGATATACGAGTTTCGACAACTGAATATCCTCGCCAAGAAAAACTTTTTCAGTTTGTGCCACCTCTTGCTTAAGAAAGGAATCAATTTTCTTACCAGACCAAGTCGCAAAAACGAGACTAATTTAAGTAATAGCCATAAAATTTATTATGAAAGTATGTACAGAAGGGGATTTAACTGTGTTCAGTCCGAATCCTCGGATTCCTCTTTGTTAACGTTGAAGTTTTTGTGAAAGGTCTCGGATACCCGATCCACTTCGTGTTGCATGTCTGATGTTTTCTGTTTGCTGAATCTCCTAGAGATCAGAGAACGATAGAAGTCAACTACTTTACCGGCTGCGGAACGGCACGCTTCCACGCAGTTTTCGAATTCTTTCAGAGTGAAGCGACCGCAAGTGTTCATCGTGACTAACCGAAACTTGACTGTCTCGAAAGCTAAGGTGAACTGTGCTTTGGCCAACTGCAAACAAAAGAAATTTTCACTCCAATTATTGATAAAACTGGAAAAACAACATTAAGGCTCTATAGCTTTTACAATTTAAAGTAGAATAAACTTAAACTGGACAAAGTAGTTTCGCTTAAGTTGATCAAGTTTATAGAAACAAGTAGAATCTAAATTATATAAACTGTCGAAAAAATTTACTTTTTCCTCTTTCGACGTAGGATTTACAACTATTTTTCCATCTTCTAATAAAACAGCGTCTACAGCAGCTATAGTATGCTTCATGGGGATTCCTGAATCAATAATGGCTAAACATGCTGCATTTATACTACATGAAAGTAACTTAAAACCAGTAAAGGATGCATAATATATTAACTTTATGAACAAAAAATGCTTTTGTTGACTAGTCTAGTGGTTTTTGAATGGTACATCCTAGTACCACAAAAACCACTAGACTAGCAAAATAGAAAAAGTTTTAATTTAGAAAGTATAGAATAAATGATAATAGTAAAAAGCTGTGAAGATAAATTTGTATCCGTGTGGATATCTGTTTAATTTAATTTTTAAATAAATTATTTATGAACTGTCTTCGTACTATCAAATAAGCAGAGTTTACGTAAAGCCAAGTCTGAAACTGTGATGTTTTGTTTAAAAGAATTAATTAATAAATTGTAGCATTCCACTAAAAAACATGTATTGTATATAAACGTTAATTTATATACAATTATTTAATTTTAAGTAATAAGAAAGTCATTTAAAACATTTTATTCTCTAACTCTAGTAGTACTGTATATACCAGGGGTGGCCAACCTGCGGCTCGCGAGCCACATGCGGCTCTTCGAAGGATTATTTGTGGCTCTCGATAAATGTACTGTACCAGAGTTCCCTTTTCATTTTTGTGTTATAATTTTAAAAATTATTATCGTTCCGTATGTGTTTCAAAATGTCTTTTAAATTACTAACAACAAATATGAAAGACTAAGTGCAACGTTGTAACAAATTTCATTTCCGTCCAAGTTAAGAATGATATGACTCATCGAAAACTGCGTGAACGAACATAAACAGTGGCGTAATCGTCCGTTATCGACCGACTCCAGACCGATTTTGAATTTGTAAACTGTCATTGCAATGGACAGTTGACATTGTGCTCTGGAGGAAACAAGTTGTATCACTCTTGCTACAGATATATTTTGTAATTGGAATTTTTTGCATACCTTTAATTGCGGCTCGCAAAAAATTTTAATTTTGAAAAATGGCTCGGACTATCAAGGAGCTTGGCCACCCCTGGTATATACTGTACTTTGGAGCATCTTCACCTAAGTGTTTGTGTCAAAAGTAATTCTGAAAATTGCAGATATTTGTTTTTCTTACAATCTCCTTACATTTCTATTCCTTTCTGTCATATACAAATTGTGTCAGAATGAAAGGAAAAATTTTTTTCTTTGTTCAGTATTTGTTTATAGTTCTAAATATTTTTAACTCGATAAGTGTACAGTTTAATTACTTCCTCGCCAAAAAAAGGATACGCTTCCCCGATTCTGAACTTCTTGGATGGTGACGGATAATACGGAACGAGGAAACGACGACAGAATGATGATGTTTTCCAAAGTATTTCTCAGGATTCTTTCGATATTTTTTTCCTTACAACCTAAATCCAACAAACGAAACTCAAATAAAAATCTAATTCAAAATATGTTTCTTGGAGTGAAATTTTTACAAACCTGAAGTGCCTTTGAACCACACACCATCAAAACTTAACTAGAAAAATCTATCTCTAGTTAACTACTGATAATGGGAGCTATCATCAAAAAGCATAACATTTTAAATAACTTTTACTCCAAAAAACAATTTAAACTAAACTCAACTTCCATTTATTTGGAATAGAATAATAAATTGTTTAAAACTTAATCTATTTTAAACTGATTAGGCTCGACCGCACGGAACAAAATAAAAATACTGTCTTTTACGAATCAATCTGTTTGGTACGATGCAACTTCACGACATCCAATGCAGCAGGTCAATAAATACCTTTACAATTACCATTTAATTAGTTTTAACGGTAATTATGGTATCTTCTAGTAATTTATATCTGACGCAAACAGGCATAATGATAATAATCAAAATGATTTTAGTGTAATTTCTGCCTTCTATTAGAAGGCAAAAATTACATACACTATTTAAATTTCAAAAGCTAATTATTAAATGATTATTTATCGAAATATTCAATATTTTTAAGAATTATTGGTCGCAAGTGTAGCGCCACTAGAACGCTTAACGCCATCTGTCGGCTTCGGCAATCACTAATGGCATTTTTTTGATATCTTAATTTTTTGGATCCCGTTAACGGTAATTAAAGTAATTCATAATTATTACACAACGTAATAAATGGGATTTTACGCCAGATAAGCACGCCATTCGAAATCTGATGTATCGAGTTACGGTGTTAAATATTCATACGTACAGTACGTCTGCAGATAGTCGGATGCAAAACTGCTGGGAGAAAAAAAGCTTCGGTCAGTGATTAGATAAACATAAATAGGCAACACGATCAGGCAGAAGCGATCTGTCAATGACAAGATAACTCTCACCTTCCTGTCAACCGTTGCTCTAACGATGGAGATCTTTGTTACCCTTCTTGAAAAAAGTTATCGTATCTGTTACACGTTCCACTTCCTGTCAAGCGCGTACGTCGGTGGTCCTGTCTACGAAGAAACAACTTTACAATCTTCATTCCGAGCCCAGTTGCAGTCGGAGCAACTTAACCCCCATTCGTAGAGTATCCCACAATTACAATCGATAGATCATTATCGATTTTCCTAAGGTTTACAACTTGCATTTTTCTAACCTTTCCGAGGTAAATGGTGATGGCCGGACAGCCGACAATCGCTAGGTCCATATTAAAATATATCGAAGGGAGTACCGGTTTGATGGCACTCGACACTTTGATACAGAAGGTAATTAATATGTCGAATGCAGCCGGGACATATCATCCGAACTGACACCGGAACTAATCTAGTGATATACGAGTTTCGACAACTGAATATCCTCGCCAAGAAAAACTTTTTCAGTTTGTGCCACCTCTTGCTTAAGAAAGGAATCAATTTTCTTACCAGACCAAGTCGCAAAAACGAGACTAATTTAAGTAATAGCCATAAAATTTATTATGAAAGTATGTACAGAAGGGGATTTAACTGTGTTCAGTCCGAATCCTCGGATTCCTCTTTGTTAACGTTGAAGTTTTTGTGAAAGGTCTCGGATACCCGATCCACTTCGTGTTGCATGTCTGATGTTTTCTGTTTGCTGAATCTCCTAGAGATCAGAGAACGATAGAAGTCAACTACTTTACCGGCTGCGGAACGGCACGCTTCCACGCAGTTTTCGAATTCTTTCAGAGTGAAGCGACCGCAAGTGTTCATCGTGACTAACCGAAACTTGACTGTCTCGAAAGCTAAGGTGAACTGTGCTTTGGCCAACTGCAAACAAAAGAAATTTTCACTCCAATTATTGATAAAACTGGAAAAACAACATTAAGGCTCTATAGCTTTTACAATTTAAAGTAGAATAAACTTAAACTGGACAAAGTAGTTTCGCTTAAGTTGATCAAGTTTATAGAAACAAGTAGAATCTAAATTATATAAACTGTCGAAAAAATTTACTTTTTCCTCTTTCGACGTAGGATTTACAACTATTTTTCCATCTTCTAATAAAACAGCGTCTACAGCAGCTATAGTATGCTTCATGGGGATTCCTGAATCAATAATGGCTAAACATGCTGCATTTATACTACATGAAAGTAACTTAAAACCAGTAAAGGATGCATAATATATTAACTTTATGAACAAAAAATGCTTTTGTTGACTAGTCTAGTGGTTTTTGAATGGTACATCCTAGTACCACAAAAACCACTAGACTAGCAAAATAGAAAAAGTTTTAATTTAGAAAGTATAGAATAAATGATAATAGTAAAAAGCTGTGAAGATAAATTTGTATCCGTGTGGATATCTGTTTAATTTAATTTTTAAATAAATTATTTATGAACTGTCTTCGTACTATCAAATAAGCAGAGTTTACGTAAAGCCAAGTCTGAAACTGTGATGTTTTGTTTAAAAGAATTAATTAATAAATTGTAGCATTCCACTAAAAAACATGTATTGTATATAAACGTTAATTTATATACAATTATTTAATTTTAAGTAATAAGAAAGTCATTTAAAACATTTTATTCTCTAACTCTAGTAGTACTGTATATACCAGGGGTGGCCAACCTGCGGCTCGCGAGCCACATGCGGCTCTTCGAAGGATTATTTGTGGCTCTCGATAAATGTACTGTACCAGAGTTCCCTTTTCATTTTTGTGTTATTATATTTTAAAAAATTATTATCGTCCGTATGTGTTTCAAATGTCTTTTAAATTACTAACAACAAATATGAAAGACTAAGTGCAACGTTGTAACAAATTTCATTTCCGTCCAAGTTAAGAATGATATGACTCATCGAAAACTGCGCGAACGAACATAAACAGTGGCGTAATCGTCCGTTATCGACCGACTCCAGACCGATTTTGAATTTGTAAACTGTCATTGCAATGGACAGTTGACATTGTGCTCTGGAGGAAACAATTTGTATCACTCTTGCTACGGATATAATTT